AGAGAGAGAGAGAGAGAGAGAGAGTATATTGAGAGGATATAACGAGGAAACGAAAAGAAAAGGAGAAAAAAAAAAAAGAAAAGAAAGAAAGGGAGAAATAACAAATAATTCGCAGACAGGAGGGCCTAGGGTGAGATATAGTGAAAAATTAATATACAGGAAATATGAGAACCTTCGTACCACCCTGATGTCCCCCTCCCCCCTCCCCACACTACCTCCACTCGTTGCTTCACCCGCCCTCCGTAACACGGGGTGGCTAGGAGGGTTTAGGGAGAACAGGGGAGGTGGGTCGCGTACTACCTCCTACAAAAGTATAGCGTCACCTCCCGCGGTACAATCCCAACCAAGAACGTCTATTCTGCCTCGAATACGATACACATCGTGCCTGTGGTTACCAGACAGACAGACAGACAGACAGAAACAATATAATAAAAAGGAAAAGAGAGAGAGAGAGAGAGAGAGAGAAAAGATTGAAGCGAAGTCCACTACTTCATTCTCGTTAATTTATCTTGCTGCAATTTCGTCGCTGCTGTGGATCGCGAAAGAGGGAGAGAGAAGAAGTGCGAACCAGAAGTTGCGACAGGTAGACAATTATTCAACGTCGAGGAAATTATAGGGCTAGCCTATAGGGGAGGGACGAGTTAAACCTTGACAGAAATTAAAATTCATCATTAGGAGATGATCCGATCCTCGATCCTTATCACTCGCCCCGTTTTACAAATCCTCGATTAAGCGAAACCGGTCCACGCGTGTCCAAAACACTGGAACGTGCTTCCTCCCGCTATATTATGTCTTAATAAATCGCGATTACCAATTATCAACCTTGGCTCTTCTATCAACCTTGTTAGGAGAACGCTACCGATTTCCTCGTCGATTTTTATCGATTTTATCGACATCGATCGATGATTTATTATATTTAAGCCTCGAAAATATTCTAAACGAATCGTGCGATTCGAAGCTTGAACAATTCTTTTATTCTTTCTCTTCTCTCTACGCGATCCGACTCAACACGTTTACGGAGATTTAAGGCACTTGTAAACTCGAACGTGTAAATACACGCGTGCCCACGCACGCTACGTTCGAACACACAGAGAGAGAGAGAGAGAGAGAGAGAGAAACGTGGATGATGGTTAAAAATTTGCTCCAAGTGCTTCGAGATATCTCGATGTGTCGCGTCGTAGAACTTATTACTACGCTAGTTTTTACGCTTCTTTCGTTTCTTCTTTTTTCCAATTCGAAACACCAGTTTCAAAGTTATACAAGGAAATTCGAATAATACCGTTCACGGTCGCCCTCGCTCGATTTCAGTGACCGATCGAGTCACGCCCCTGGAGATGTCTGTTAGAAAACTATTCGAAAAACTGGTTTACGCACGTTCTCCACCTCACCACCTTTGTATAAATTATAGTAACCGCGTATACTACGAGCATAATTTTCCAACTCGAGGCGTTTCTCCACCAGAGAACCAGAGAAACGTTCTTTTCGAGAGAGAGAGTATGTGTGTGTGTGTGTGTGTGTGTGTATACGTGTGTGCGAGCAGTGTGTATCGATAACGAGAGTATTTTTTCTCATCGTATCGATAATCTAGATCATAGATAGTGAATCACTGACACCGCTGCCAAGTTTAGCACCGAGCGGACTCGATGCTGGCGCCGTTCATTACAGGTTTCGTCTGCAGAAGCGATCCGGCTTAACTCTCTTTGCAAAAAGGATACTTAACAACAATATGTTCCCGCAGTGTTTTTGGCAACGATCGGGAAAAAATTTTGGCAATCAGTGCTAGGGAAAATATTTATCTCCGATTTCATTTCGATAAAATCGAGTTTTAAGGAAGCTCCCAGTGCTTCTCAGCCCGAAGAAACGCGATGCTTTTCTTTTTTTTTTTTTTTTGGAATTATGGAAAATGGAAGAAGACGGAGATTATATTTATGAGAATAAATATAATCGTTCAATCGATGGGTATTGAATAAGAAGAATTTGATAACATTTATTATAATTGAAGTTGAAATCTCAACTTCGTTTATAATTTTTATAATTAAATCCATTGTAAAATTAATTATAAATTTTACTAAAACTATGTACGTATGATTAGCGTGTTCCGTTGAAACGAATATGAAAGAGGGAACTATTCTCCGTAAAAATAATTGCTACTTTCATTCCCCTATTTATAACATTTCCGTTGATACGTAGACGTGGACAATCCCTGCTATGCGTGCGTATCGAATATCCATGGCTTTCGAAAACGAAAGTTGGAAAGGAAGCAATGACCGTCGATTAGCAAGCTAAAAATCGAGGAAATTTTTAAGGGCGTAAGAACGTGGCCCATCCAGTTGAAGCTGGATTGTTCAGGAAGAATGCGGACTAACCGGGAGACGAGTGATAAATAATAGCGGCTACCTGCGTTATCTAGGAATGTTAGCAAGCCCGACATAGTCAGACACACGTTGCTCTTATGTTTTACACGTTACAACTGGGTGACGACTTTTCGACGGACGAAAGAACTTTAAGCCTTCGAAAGTCCATCGACGTGCTATCGCGTACGAGCAATTGCATTTCAAATTCAAGATTATTTCTTTCCTCGATTTCTTTCCCTCCCCAATATATCATTGTTCGATACAACAACGTTGTTCCTCGCCAAGAAACAAAGTTCCATTTCCCGTACAACAAATCAGCATGCATTATCGAATGTTCAATAAGAAGCACAAAATTACTTGCTAAATTCGCAATGATAAATCGCGTTGCTTATCGATCAAAGAAACCATTATTTATTTATTTTAAAATACTTGTTATCAATCACCACGATTGATCTTATCTACCGCCTCGATTGATAAGCAACGCGTCGACGCAGAGAGACGAAAATCAAGACTCACCCTTGGTCCATCCTGTCGACGGGTCCACCGGGTCCCATCATCGCTGGATGTCCAGGCCCGATAGGCCCTGTCATCGGGTGACCAGGTCCAAACGGGCTTCCAGGTGGCATACCGTATTGGGGTCCGCCAAACGGTTGACCATGCGAGGGAAAGTGAGGATTCCCCGCTCCCGGAGGTACGAACGGCGGCCCCGAGGAACCGGGTCGGCCGACGAATTGCGGTGGCCCGCCAGACGGCGAGCCGAATGGACTCGGCCCGGGCCCATTATACGGGGGCCCGGAATTATTGGGTGGCGGTGGGAAGCCCGACGAGTTGGGCGGTGGTCCAGGGCCAGGTGTCGAGGAGCCGCTAGGCGCTGGTGAGGCAGTATACTGAGGGGTCGCGGAACCAGGGGGTGGTCCTTGATAAGGAGGCGCCCCGGCTGGACTACCAGCGCCACCGGGGAAAGGGCTCGGGCCTTGGAAGGCCGCATTACTCGGTGGACCACCTGTATTGTTGTAAGGACCGGAGCCAGGGCCACCACCCTGGCCAACGGAGTTGGGTGTAAAGGGCGATGCCTCCGAGCCGGGCGGCGGGCCCTTCCAAGAGGCTGGTGTTCCCGGATCCTCCAGTGTGGTAGTGGCTGCCAATGGCGTGTTTAGGCGGCTACAGCCTGGAAATGTAAACGTTTCTCTTTATACTATTCGTCCTATGTATTTTGGATTGATTGGTATCTATAATCTTAGGGAAATGGGGAATGGGAATGTATGGAAATTATATATTGGATAGACAGTGATGTATGTATCGGTGGATATTAGTTTTTAGAGTAACAAGGAGTAAGTCCGATTCCAAAAGAGACAGGGATTAATGTTAAAATAGTATTTACGGTGGTGTAACAAGGAAGCTCGTGCTGTTTGAGAGTCTATTCGATGCTCAAGTTTCTATTTTAAATATTGTGCATGTTCATACTAGTAATATCTTTGTAACACTTTACTCATTGTATAGGTGCGCGAAGCTTTTAACAAGTTGTTCAATCTTTGAGCTTATTTCTGTACAATCTAAGTAACTAATATTGTTATTCCGTTCATATTTTATCTATGTATAACAATTTTGATGTAATAATTCTTTTAGGCAACGCTATACGATTCATAATTGTATAAATTACACGTCAGCATAACATGTAAACAACTTTAATAGAATGTTATGCGTATCGATGCTTATATATAAAGTAATACAAGATATATAGTGTTCAAAAAGTTCTAAAGCAATTAAGTAACAAAAGAAAATCACCATTGTTTGTCCCATTGGCCTTCATTGTCTTATGATCACCCAGCTCATTCCATTGCACCGATCACCCACTATGTAGGAGTCAGCACTTGGTGAAAATTGTCAATCCTCGCCGACACACTTTATTCTCAATTAAAAGAGGTCACAAGAACGGTCACGTTTCAATTCCCACGTATTGAATAATTCCAATATTAATTGGAATATCTTTAAGGTTATGTGCCGGTAACCTAACCTATGCCGTGGTTAGAACGCGTTTCACGAGTCCCACCGCGACGAAGCCACTTGAACTGCACAAAGCACGAATTACGATACTTTTCAAGAATCTGAATTCGCAGTCTGTCGACACATCGTCTTATCGAAAAACGTGAAAGCAAGGGATAACAATGGGCACCTGTACGGTCGCGTTGCCGGCATTTTCACGCTGATTTTCGACGTGTTTCAAGACGTTCCACCAGCTTTCCAGTCGAGATCCAGGCGCGCACCCACTTTTAGGCGCGTGCACAGGTCCGACATCACGCTAATCTTCATTCATTTTGCCGTCACATTGCAGAAAAATTCGCGATCGTCCAAACACAAATGACTCAGTGTAAGAGAGAGAGAAGAGGCAAGCGCGAATAAACACCACTAGAGTCAACAGACGACCCTCGTCAGGGACGTAGCGCGCAGGTGGCGCCACAGCATTCGAATTCGTATTTATCCAGCTTTTAATTCACGCGTTAATTCACATCGAACGAATCGTAATAATTTATCGAATTATAAAAAAGAGTCGGCCCTTCGTCCAACATGCTACGAGCACTTCATCGATTTTTATTTTAAAATGAAAACGAGACGGCGGACTTACATGGTAAACACTCGAAGACTCGCGACAATATCGACACAGACGCTTCGAAACGTCAAGTTTCAAGTGTCAAGAGACAGCTTTCGCGAATGAAAATACAAGAAGTCTGTGAGGAACGCGTGACGATAAGAAAAAAAGTCACTAGCCTCCGACACTTTCACTCGCATTTGTCACTCACACGTGCACCCGTACGCGACGACTCGATGGAACACACGTACGCACGTGCGCCAGGAGTGTAGCTAGTCGACACACGCACCTAGTAGCGAACTAGACTAGGTGCTCCCTCACGGGCCACGTGTTCGGTACTCGCTATCCACTCCTAACTGCCCGCGCCCGGATGTCAACTGGATTTCTTCCTCGGCCGTAGCCAACAATTGTTATTCCATACGTGAAAATCGGGCGGCGCTGCCATTTTTAACAGACCGGCTGCATGAGTCGACGCGGCAGCAACGACTGCCTCACACCCCGCCCGAACACACTGAAAGCACACCCCATGAAGGCACACGTAGCTCCGTGCTGCTCTCCTCTTTTCTCCGCTCCGTCCGTTTGCTCCGCTCCTACCTTTGCCGTACCAGTCGAAAAATATCTCGGCCGGTATAACACGGTGCGTGTGTACACACGTCTTCACGCTTTCTCTCTTACGATCCCGGTACGAAACCGTCGTCGTAAAGTAATCGTCGTTCGTATTGATTCTAAGCCGCGCGCTACCTTCGCGTAATTACACCGCTTGCTTCATATTCCTTGCGCGTGCACCCGAAACTTTTCACCCGATTTTTCCCTAGACGCGACCACTGTCCTTGCCGGCTCTACGCCAATGCGTCACGCTCCTCTACGCTTCGTTTCTTCGATTCTCTTGATACATCCGTGCCGCGTCTACCGCGGCCGCGTTTAATTCCTTGTAAATACCTCGGATCGGTAGTTATAATTTCCGATCGATTAATCAAGAGGAAACTTTGGCAACGCGGTGTCGCCTGTTGCATGCGAGTAACGTTCCGTGTTTGTGCGTTACGTGCAACAACAATAAATCGCTCGTTGATTCGTGCAACAGCAACTGGGATGAGCCGCCGAAATCTTTTCGTTTCGTGTCAGAAAGAAGCAAACCGGACACGTAGATAGAGATACGTGTAGGTGGGAAAAAGAGTCACAGAGCACACAGAAGCGGGAGCATAGGCCGACACGCGTCGACACCAACTATCTTTCTCTCTCTCTCTCTCTTTCTCTCTCTTTCTCTCTTTCTCCCGCTCTCGGTTGTTCCTCACACTTCCTCCCTTCGATTCTCGAATCGAATCCTGTCCCCCTTATGCGGCAAAAGAAGAAATTGACGCGCGACAAAGAAACGCATCGCGTTTCCGTAATCCTCCTATTAGCGCACCGTTTCACGAACACTCGAAAGTTTACTACGACTCGTTACTTTCTCTACACGCGGCGGCACAGGCAACGACCAAGGAAACGTGGCGCACAAAGAACACACGCGAGGAACGATCGAGGAGCACGGAAAGAACGATCACGGGAAAACACATCACGCGTTTCACTCGTCTCCCATTCACACGGGAGGACGACGATTCACTCTACTCTTTGCGGGCTCGCGAATTGAAGGGAGAGGGGAGAGACGGAGGGAGGAAGAGAAATAAATAAACAAAATAAGTAAAATTGGCCGGATTGTTGACGAGATTGGGGGAGGGGGAGAAGAAACGTGTGGAACCGCCGTGATTTTGTCCACCGTCGCGTCGATCGTTTCACGAGAACTAAACCACGATCCGAGTGTCGGCCGAGACGTTGGTGTAAAACATGCAAGACGACGCAAGACGAGGCAGCTGTTCCACGTGGAGCGTCGCCCACGGATGCGTACGGCCCTGCGCCGAGAGCCGAACCCCCGACCGCAACGGGACTGCGCCTCGCCACAGTTACTCTTTTCTGTCACCGCCGCCGCTGCCGCCGACGTCGCACTCGCCACTTTTACACGACGGGGAAAAAATGTTTCGCGCGGGGAAACGTCGCGGCGGAAGGTTAACACGAATGAATAACGGGATAGCACGAATCGCGGTTTCACGACCGAAATCTCGGTCGATCGTGGGATCATTATAGCATATAATTGGAGGAGAGAGCAGATTCGGGGGAGGGATGTTTTTCGCGCGTGCAATGGCGCAGCGGCCGCCACATTTTTTTCTCGCTCGTTTCAAAGTCCCTCCCGTCGAGGGGGGACTCAACACTCGCCGGTTGACAGTGTCACCCTAAAAATCAATAAGGGGTTCACCCTCGACCCTGCCCACCCTCTTCCTCCTTCTGCACCTTTCTCCACCTCCTCCTCCTCCTCCACCTCCGCCTCTTACTCTCCGCGTTTATCCCAGGAACGTATAGCTGGGGTCGATGGGTCGGCGAGGTTATGGTGGTCAGACGACCAGTCATTCTATTAGGCGGTGATGCGACGCCAGGAGGCCTGCTAACCTTCAAACCGCCACTTTCATGCGGTTTACGCTTTAAGATAGCTTTCTTTCTCGATTTTCACGTATTCTTGTTTATTATTAATTATTTCATTTTTGAAGGTGAACACGATACTTGAAATTTATTTTCGTAAATTTTCGTTTCTTATATATATATATATATATATATATATAATAAATAAAAGTACAAGTTAA